GGTGGGATGTTAGAGCAGGTAGGCAGCCCTGCAAACATCCACTCTTCGGACTCGGAAGAAAGCGAACAGAGCACAGCAGCCGATCAGGCGGAGGCGCCACCAGCTCCGGTGCCCAAGTCTTCCCTGATGGCTGGAAGCCAGAAGTTCGAGTCGTTCGAACCAGCATCTGAGGACTGGGACTCTTACCTCTCTCGGTTTGAGTTCCATCTGGAAACCCATGATATTACAGACGAGGCCAAGAAGCGAGCTTGCCTCCTGAGTTCCTGTGGAAAAGGGACCTTCGACATAGCCAGGTCGTTGGTGGCCCCAACGGATATGAAAACCGTTACTTACGCTGATATCACGAAGAAGCTGAAGGCACACTTTTCTCCACAGCCTTCAGAAATAGCCTGCAGGCACGCTTTTTACAAGCGGAGCCAAGAAGCGACGGAGACCATCGCTGATTTTGTGGCGGCCCTGCGAAAGGCGGCGAGGCCGTGCAACTTCCCGGACGTGGAGGTCGCGCTCAGAGATCGGCTCGTGTGTGGCCTGCGGGACGAGAGACTTCAACAACGCCTGTTCGCAAAGACCACCCTGACCTGGGCCGTGGCCTACGAGGAGGCTGTCGCGGCAGAAGCGGCAGACAAGTCAACGAAAGAAGTCCGGCAACGACTAGCGCAAGCAGAGCTGAAAGTGCACTCCCAGGCGCAAGAGGGCGAGGGCGTTGATGCGCATGAAGATATCAACGCGGTTCGAGACAAGCGGACCCAACAGAAGACTGCAGCCAGCACGACCTGCTCCGGATGTGGCGGGAAACACCCACGGGAGTCCTGCTGGGCACGAGAATTGGAGTGCCGAGCATGCGGACGACGGGGGCACATAGCAAGGGTCTGCAGATCGGCAAAGAGGAAGCCAGCGCATTAGCGAGGGTCTGCTGGTCGGCCAAGAGGAAGCCAGCGCAAACCTCCCGTGACCAACAGCGATCCCCAGCACACGAGTCCACACAACAGATGACAGCCACTCTAACCAGCTCGTCAACAATTCACCGCACCAGTGGGCCCGGAAAGATCACCGTCACCCTGCTTCTGGATGGCCAGCCCTGCACCCTGGAAGTGGACTCTGGATCCCCAGTCACCATCATCTCGTCAAAATCCTGGCAGCAACTGTTCCCAAACCGAAGCCGAAGGCGACTGAAGCATGTGGACACGCGAGTCTCCGACTTCCAGGGGAGAAGGATTCCATTGGCCGGAAAGGACTCCGTGCTCGTTGAGTATATGGGAAAATGTGTTGAATTATCGTTTATAGTTGCTGAAGGGGATCGTGTTAATCTATTGGGGTTGGACTGGTTTAAACCATTGGGCATTGGGCTGTATGGGGTAAATAAGCTTCAGGAGAATAAATGGGACACCCTGTACGAGCAGTTTCCCGCAGTTTTTGGAGAGGGACTGGGAAAGTATAATGGGCCCCCTATCTCGTTTGAATTAGACCCTAAGGTAACCCCCATCAGGTTAAAGTACAGGAAGGTGCCCATTCCAATACGGCCCAAGGTGGAAAAAGAGCTAGATAAGCTCATTGAGTAGGGGGTCCTGGAACCAGTGCCTCACAGTAAATGGGAGACTCCCATTGTAACGCCAGTAAAGCCCGACGGGTCCATATGGATATGTGCCGACTATAAGTGCACTATAAATAAGGCCCTACAGCAGCACTCTTATCCTGTGCCAGTAATAAGCCACGTCCTGGTTTCTCTGGGGGGCGGCAAGATTTTTGCGAAGCTTGATTTAGCTCAAGCGTATCAGCAGTTGCCTGTTACGGCGGAGGCGGCTGAGGCCCAGACAATCGTGACACATAGGGGTGCGTTTAAAGTTAACAGACTCCAATTCGGAGTCAATGTGGCCCCTGGATTATTCCAAAGTTTAATGGAAAGACTTTTGAGGGGGGTGCCGGGCACAGTGCCCTATTTTGATGATGTTCTAATTGCAGGAAAAACCGAGCAGGAGCTACTGGACAGAGTTACTGAGGTCCTGAATCGTTTTAAAAATGCTGGGTTAAAGGTGAAACGCTCTAAATGCACAATGGGCGTGGATAGTGTTGAATTCCTGGGTTTCCGCATAGACGCGGAAGGGGTTCATCCCACATGCGAAAAGACGGAAGCCATTAAGAAGGCTCCTAGGCCCGTGAACAAAAAAGAGCTGCAAGGGTTCCTTGGTTTGCTAAATTTTTATCACGCGTTTTTGCCACACAAGGCATCAGTGGCAGCACCCTTACACGCACTTTTACACAAGGACGCAAAGTGGACATGGGGTCAAGCCGAGGAGGAGGAGTTCTCAGGAGTGAAGGCACTGTTAACATCCAACGCCGTTTTGACTCATTATGACGAGCAAAAACTCCTGATCCTGGCTGCCGACGCTTCGCCTTTTGGAATAGGCGCTGTTTTGAGCCATCTGATGCCGAATGGAAGCGAAGCGCCTATCGCTTTCTATTCAAGGTCTCTGTCTGCGGCAGAAAGGAACTATGCCCAGATAGACAAGGAAGGTCTGGCATTGGTAGCGGCTGTCAAAAAGTTCCACGATTTTGTTTTTGGCAGGAAATTTGTGTTGGTCACAGACCATAAGCCGCTATTGGGGATTTTCGCGCCCGATAAGCAACTGCCTAACATCATGTCTGCTAGAATGCTTAGGTGGGCGCTGTTTTTACAGGCATACGATTTTGATCTGGAACACCGGCCGGGTAAGGCCATAGGGCATGCTGACGCACTCAGCCGCTGTCCCTTGCCTAACCAAGGAACCGATCCTGCCCCTACATGTGAAGTCTTGGCCATTGATGAACTCCCTCTCTCACCTATCTCCTCTACGGATGTGGCTGCTCACACCGCTAGGGATGCCGTATTGTCCCGTGTTCTTAACTGGGTGTGGAGGGGGTGGCCGATGGGCAACATGGAACCCGAGTTCCAGCCATACAAGACACGCCAAGCAGAATTATCTGTATCAAAGGGATGCATACTTTGGGGAAACAGGGTCGTAGTTCCAGAGAACCTCAGACACAGGGTTTTGCAATCCTTACATGATGGGCACCCGGGAATGGTTCAAATGAAGGCCTTAGCCAGAGGTTATGTTTGGTGGCCCAGGATAGACCAAGCTATCAAGGAATGGGTGCGAGTTTGCACCCAGTGCCAGCAGGACAGGCCAAATCCCCCTGCAGCCCCACCACAGAAATGGGAGTCATCAGGGAAGCCTTGGTCAAGACTTCATATGGATTTCGCTGGCCCGGTACAGGGGGAAATGTTTTTAATCATTGTTGACGCCTGGTTGAAATGGTTAGAGGTGGTGCACATGCGCACAACTACATCCACCGCTGTCGTTAAGGTCCTCCGCAGGCTATTCACAACCCATGGGTTGCCAGACACGCTCGTCAGCGATAACGGGCCACAATTTGTATCAGAAGAATTTAAGAAATTCCTACAGGATAATGGCATTCGCCAACTTACAGCTGCCCCTTTTCACCCCGCTTCAAATGGCCAGGCGGAGCGTATGGTACAAACGGCAAAAGAGGCATTGGGAAGACTAACTGAGGGGGATTGGAGCGTCCGGCTTGCGTCGTTCCTCCTGCGCCAGCATACCACTACCTGTAGCTCAACTGGCCGTAGCCCAGCCGAGCTACTCATGGGCCAGAGGTAAGCCACCAGGCTCAATAGATTGCACCCCGACCTCACTGAACAACAGGCGGAGCGTATAGACCCACATACGTCCATGCGCACATTTCAGGAGGGTGATACGGTGTTTGCCCGAAACTATGCCGCCGGACATTCTTGGGTCCCCGGAGTAATCTGTGAGTGTATTGGTACACGGATGTATTTAGTCCAAGTGGCTGACGGCAGACGGTGGCGGCGCCATGTAGACCAGTTAAAAACGCGTTGGGTCAAGGACAGCACTGACTCTCCGGCTGGGTATGATGGGTTATGTCCCCAACCTTCTGACTTAGAGGACAGTGTAAGGTTACCAATAGCCGTTCCAACAGCAGAACAAGCCCCTGACGAAGACACAGTAACCCCGGCCGTAAAAGCGCCAGATTCGGGGTTTGCCAAGCCTCAGTCAGAGTCCCCACACAGCGGGCCACCAGGCCCTGTTCCCTTGCGAAGATCTGAGCGTTCGCACAAAGCACCCGCGTATCTTAATGACTATGATTGTAGTCAACTGTATTGTACTGAGTTATGACAAGAAGTGTTGGACTATGATGTAAATGGAACAATATGGTTGTCTTAACTTAGGGGGGAGGAATTGTTATGTACTGTCTGGATATCATGAATCAGCTAATCCACCTCCTATGTTAAGCTTCAAGCCAGCCAAGGCTCCATCTAGCCCAAAAGCTATTGGTCGCTTCGAAACAGCGACCAATCACAAAGGAACTGTTCCCTGAGCGGGAAGAACTCTGATTCGCCTTTATCCCTGCAATCTAATTGGTTGTTATTGTACATAGTGGGAGTGGCTATATTAGCCCGGTATGTTTAAAAGGAGCCCAGCTCCCATGTTGTGTTCTGTTCTGGTTTCTCATGCGTTTGAGTGCTTGTTCGTTACTTCTGATTAAAGCTGAATCACTGCTGAAATCACTCCCCGAGTCCTTTGTTAGCGCGATCTAACAGGGGGGGCCGCTCTGACATACCCTGTAAAGAGGCAAGGAGGAGCAGAGGTCCCAGAGTGGCTACGCAGGGTGGGTGCTCCAGGACAGCTGTGTTTCTGACGGGATACCATAGAGACTAGGAGCAATGGGCCGATCCTTGCCTGTCAGGATAGTAAAGGACAGAGGCTGGCTGGAGGTGAGAGAGGGGTGGGACCAGCGTCCCCTCCACGCTGAGTGGGGTGTGAGCCAGCTCACAGTTTCTTAGCCTCTGGCTCACAGATTTTTGCCTTAGCTCGGGAAGGAGGTGGCTCCAGAGAAAACTAATTGTATGCAGCGGGCAAATGGCTCGCTCACAACTTGAATGCCAGGAGCTCACAAAGTGGGATTCTTGCTCACAAGAAGACTCCACCGCTTAGACTTGGGAGCACTGGGTGGGCCGGCCGGCTTTGGCCTGTGGGCCCCGGAGTGGATTTTCCTCCTTAATCCTTTGAGAGTTTTCCCCCCTCGGCTGAGTGTAACATGGCGGGATATCTGATCGCTCTCACGTCAGGTAACACGTGTGTCCGTAAAGAAAACATTCTGCCCCCAAACATATTTCTGTTCCCTCGCGATGAACGTGGGCCGAAGGCATCGTTTCTGTTTCTATCTCGTCATCCCGTCTGTGAGGGAAGGGAAGTTCACGGGCCGTCTGCTGCACAAGTGGTGGGGAGCAGCGGCCGGAGAGGGTGGGGGCGGTGTGGTGACAGGTGGGGCACTTAGGTTTAGACGTTGAGTCCTGGTGGCAGGAAGTGACCTCACAGAAAGGGGAAGAGCTTGGACGAGCCGACCTATGACCTGGACCACCGCCGTGTTCCCCCGGAGCTCCCTCCCCCTCCTCAAGCTCCACCCTCCCCAGATGCGCCCCCCCCAAATCACCGGCAGGGCAGGCCTGTTAGTCTGGGGTGGAAGACCCGGATTCAAGTCCAGCAGCACCTCAGGAAACCAACGACATTCTCAGAGTGGAGGCTTCCAAGGAGAGCACTGATTCTGGAGAGCTTCTGCCTCAAAAATCTTTTTTGTTCTCTAAGGTGCTGCTGGAATCCAGCTGTTCCAGCCTGGGGCTGGCAGACTTCAGTCTTCGCTCCTTCTGAGATGTGTCATCCCCCGCCCCCGCCCCCCGCCGAAGCCTGCCGCCCTCCCAGTCACCAAGGATTCCCCTGCCCTGGCCTGGCAGCCCTAGTGAAGGGCGGGATCATCTCCATAGCGGGTCTAGATGTCTACAGAGATGTCAACGTTCCAGAAATGTTGAAACCAAATGGGGGGGGGCTGTTTCCCCTGGGGAAAAAAGGAATTTGGGGGGAAGTACATTCCTATAAAATCTGAAACCCATTTACAAATTTATCAATATAAAATGCGTAAATCATAACTTAGCATATAAAGGTGTACTACTTAGCATATCTGGAGAATTTAAAAGTACTTTTCACCCCCTCTATAAGAAACATCACAAGAATACCTGGTACTTGAGGGAAAAGTTGGAGACTGCTGCACCTGACGCTACCATAGCACATGCATCTTTAATTTTTGTCCTGAGAAAAAATTCAAAGGTAGAAAACAAATTCTGTAACAAAAAAGGGAAGGTGTGATTTGGACAGAGACTCCCTTCTGCAGTCACCATGGGCAGGACAGTCAGCATGTTTGGATATGAAGCCAATAAAGTGGAAATGCTACAAAAACTGGCTTCTTTAATACTGCATTATCATAAAACATATCGTTTCCAAAATTACTTATTTAAACAGGAAGTATATATTTCAACAGTTATGATTTTTTCCCCCAGTGTTTCGCAAAATTTCCCAAATGGAGAAAGTCCTCAAACCCTTTTCTGCCGTACATTTGGAAAAGGTGTGAATGAGTAAAATACTATATAAGACAAGATTTTTCTCACTCAAAAAGGTAAAATATTTTGTCGGGATTTTCAGTATGCTCCATTTTTATTTTTATTTTGAAAAATTAAAGAAATCCCCTGACTTCTTCATGATGTACATTTTGGGTGTGAAAAACCTTGCCCCAAGAAGCATTTTACTCATTCTATAAGAGAAGTATTTCGTGGGGTATTTTTCCATTCTCCCCCCCCAAAAAAAAAAGTCCTCAGGGGAAAAGGTCCCCCGCCCTGAATTTCCCCCTGAGGTTCATCCCTTCGGCCTTCAGATCTCCAGGCATCCAGCTTGTAAGCCAGGCTCTGGGATAGCGTGGAGCCGGAGGGCCCCCTTCCAGGTACGGGAGGCTGGCTTTGGGCTCCAGTAAGACTTTGTTGGCTGGTCAGGAGAGGACCGGAGGACCCTCCAGAGGAAGAGGGTGGTTCTGAGGGTGGATCTGGAAGGCGGCAGGTGGAGTGGGGGCAGGTTTCCCCATGGAGGTGCTGAGAAGGGTTAGCTGCCTGTTGTGCCAGTGTGTGATGGCTGGGAATGGTTGGGGACTTGTAGGCTAGATTCACACTGCTTGACGTCTCTTAATTTATGGTTTCATTTTGTTCCACTATTTATATTCTCATTCTTCCCCTTGGTGGGTCAAGGCAGCTTAAAGCAGCAACGTGATTCAATAAAAAGCCTTACTTAAAACCCCAGGATGTTGCTTTCCATGGCTTCCTAAAAGCCGACGAGCACGCCTCACCTCACAGAGTCCGTCCCGTAAAGTGGGAGCTGCGGTTGAGAAGGTGTGGGACTGCAGTAGATGGGCAACGGGGGTGATCAAAAGGGGGCAGTGATCAGTTTGTGATGGGTACACGGGGACTTGCAGGGAGAGCCTGCTCTTCCAGTATGGGGGTCCCAGGCTCTGGAGGGCTTCAACTGCCATCGAGAACTGAACTGTCAAACAAACTGTCAGCCAGGGCACTTGCTTTCAAATAGGTTAGAGACATTCCTGATGGCCAGCCCCTAATGGCAGCCAGGGTGCAGCAGCTGAAATTCCTGGGTTGTCTTCAAGAGGAGCCCCATACAGAGTGTGTTACAGTAGTCCAAGCTTGAGGCTACAGAGACGTATGGGTTTCATTCATTTATAAATATTTCCATCATGCGTTTTCTCTTTGGACTCAAGGTGGCTAACAACGCAACAACAGTTTGCAAGGACAAGCAACGGCCTACATGCCCTGTTGTTGGCCCTCCAGAGGAACCAATTGGCCATTGTGTGAGACAGAATGCTGGACTGGATGGACCCTCACTGGTCTGATCCAGCAGGGCTCTTCTGAGGTTCTCATGAAGGTCTTTGGCCTCTCTGCCCTGTTGCTGTCCCTCCAGAGGGACTGGCTGGCCCCTGTGTGAGACGGGAGGCTGGACTAGAGGGACCCTCCCTGGTCTGACCAAGCAGGGCTCTTCTGGTGTTCTTATCAGGGGAAGGCCTCGGCCTCTCTGCCCTGTTGCTGGCCCTCCGGAGGAACTGGTTGGCCACTGGGTGAGACGGGATGCTGGACTAGGTGGACCCTCTCTGGTCTGATCCAGCAGGGCTCTTCTGATGTTCTTATCTGGGGGAGGCCTCAGCCTCTCTGCCCTGTTGTTGGCCCTCCAGAGGAACTGGCTGGCCCCTGTGTGAGACGGAAGGCTGGACTAGATGGACCCTCACTGGCCTGATCCTGCAGGGCTCTTCTGATGTTCTTATGAGGGGAAGGCCTCGGCCTCTCTGCCCTGTTGCTGGCCCTCCGGAAGAACTGGCTGGCCCCTGTGTGGGACGGGAGGCTGGACTAGATGGACCCTCCCTGGCCTGATCCTGCAGGGCTCTTCTGATGCTCTCCTCAGGGGAAGGCCTCGGCCTCTCTGTCCTGTTGCTGTCCCTCCAGAGGAACTGGCTGGCCCCTGTGTGAGACAGGATGCAGGAATAGATGGACCCTCACTGGTCTGACCCAGCAGGGCTCTTCGGAGGTTCTTCTCAGGGGAAGGCCTTGGCCTCTCTGCCCTCTTGTTGGCCCTCCAGGGGAACTGGCTGGCCCCTGTGTGAGACAGGATGCTGGACTAGAGGGACTCTCACTGGTCTGATCTAGCTGGGCTCTTCTGGTGCTCTTCTCAGGGGAGGGCCTCGGCCTCTCTGCCCTGTT